GACATTAAATCCAGTTGTTTCCAACTCTGGGGATTGGTGCTCATCTCCATTTCTAAGCCAAAGAGATGGTGTTGTCCGTAGCCACCCCCAAGGTCATATGGCCAGGATGACTGCATGGAGCGCCGTTACCTTCCCGCAGGAGCAGTACCTATTTCCTGTTTCCAAACTGCTAGGTTGGCAGAAGCTGGGGCCAACAGCGGGAGCTCACACCGCTCATAGAATTCGAACCTGTGAACATTCGGTTAGCAAGTTTAGCAGCTCAGCGGTTTAACCCACTGTGCCACCGGGGATTTGCAACATGAAATATAATAATACAAAAAAAAATGACATATTTATTTATTTGTCGTGTCAGGACAACCAGTCAAATTATATTACATTTCTAACAGAACAAAGCAAACAAACAGACAAAATACAAAATTTGTAAGTTTGGTAATTGATTAAATGTCCTTTGAGTAGTATCTGGCCACTTGGAGTGCTTCTGGTGTTGCTGCAAGAAGGTCCTCCATTGTGCATGTGGCAGGGCTCAGATTGCATTGCAGCAGGTGGTCAGTGGTTTGCTCCTCTCCATACTCGCATGTCGAGGATTCCACTTTGTAGCCCCATTTCTGAAAGTTGGCTCTGCATCTCGTGGTGCCAGAGAGGAGTCTGTTCAACATCTTCCAAATTGCCCAGTCCTCTGTGTGCCCAGAGGAGAGTCTCTCATTTGGTATCAGCCATTGGTTGAGGTTCTGGGTTTGAGCCTGCCACTTTTGGACTCTCGCTTGCTGAGGTGTTCCAGCGAGTCTCTGTAGATCTTAGAAAACTATTTCTAGATTTAAGTCGTTGATGTGTTGGCTGATACCCAAACAGGGGATGAGCTGGAGATGTCTCTGCCTTGGTCCTTTCACTATTGGATGCTACTTTGACATATTACATGTTGCTAATCCTATTTTTTGAGTCTCCTTGAGAAGAAAGTGGAATATAAATCATCATCATCATCTACAATCTGCAGGGCGCATTAATTTCACAAGAGAACTGGATGACTATTATTCCACCCCAAGAGTTGAGTTTTAGATGCATTAACTCTGATGGAAGGTGGGCAACCTAAAGGTAATATGTTACAGCAAGCAATTTGAGGGCGTATTTTTTCTGATATTGATTGGAAGGAAAATGTAAAATGATGACATGAAGCAAATAGGCTGCAAGTCATAGAAGAGCGCTCGTTGCTCTTTAGAGAGGCAGCGCAGAGAGAGTGGGCTAGATAAGGGCCCATTATGTCCCTCCGCCAGGCCTTATTGTGGTTGATAGGTTGCCAGGGCAACGCACTCGGCTGCCATTCTCTCCCCCTCCGCCACGAGATCCTCGCGCTGCTCTTTCAGCTGCCACTCCTTTGTTGCCACGGGCGCCGGAGCAGAAAAAGAGACTAAGAAGTGTTTGTTTCTGATTGGGCCTCTCCGAGGCTCGCTCATTAGCATATGAGGACGGAGCTCGACTTGGCAGGGCGCGAGCCGATTGGCTGAGGCTGGAGGTAAGGCTGTGGGGTGATCCCGACAGGAGGCGAACTCTGTTTGGGCCGGAGCGCGAGCCAAGCCGAGCTCCGGGAGGCGGCGCGCGAGAGCTTCGAGGATGGGCGCGCGCACTCGCGCTCCTGCGCCTGTGACCTCTTTTGCCCGAAGGGGCGGAGCGCGCGCCTGTCCCGGGCTTTGCACGCCTTTTCCTTTGCTCTTTAATTGGTCTTCCCTGCGGATGAGGGCTTCAGACACGCTCCTCCCTGCCGGTGTGCGCTTTGAAAGGCGGGGGAACACGCGGGACCGGCGTGGCCACGTTGGCAAAGCGGCTGTTCACGCGGCGGAGACATGAAAGGCCTCCCCGCCGTGCATGATATCCCCATTAATGTCGAGCAGGCCGACCTGCCTCACCCAGGATGCACTCTAGACTTCCAAAATAGGAGCCTGTCAAATTTAAAAAGAAGGGGGCGGGGCGGAGGAAACCTTATGCACAACTCTTTCAAAATAATATTTGCTCCTTCAGGTTCTTTGGACTTTAATTCCCAGAATTCAAACAGAATAATGTTTGATGTATTGTTGGTGTCGTTATTGCTTATTGTTTGATTTGCTTTGCTATTGTTGTGTTATGTTTTTTTACTGTATTGTGTTTTGAGGCTTCGGCCTGTGTGAGCCGCATCGAGTCCCTCGGGAGATGCTAGCGGGGTACAAATAAAGTTAATAATAATAATAATAATAATAATTCCCAGATAGCTTGGCCAAGAGTTTGGAATACAGTACTGGAAGCGGAAGGCCAAACCATCTGGAGGAAAAAAAAAGGTTGATTTAAGGTACATCCCAATTGTAGAATTAATGCAGTTTGACACAACTTTAACTATTGTGGCTCGATGTGATAAAGTCCTGGAATTTATAGTTTGGTGAGTAGTCTTTGGCAGAGAAGGCTAAAGACCTTGTAAAATTACAACTCCTTTGATTCCATTGCATTGTGCCATGGCAGTAGAAATGCTATCAAACTGCATTAATTCTATAATGTAGAATAGATGCACCCCTCGAGGAAAGAGGCCTGTTTATATGGGTTTTGCACTTTTGCTATCTGGTTTTGGGACTACCTGGGTGCTCAGTTCTCATTACACACAATGGTGCAGCAAAAATATACATTTTGTCTTCTGTAAAATGGAAACGTCAAGGCTTGCCTTTTGAAAGTTTTTTGGATGGAGAAGGCAATATTTTCAAGTCACAGATGGCCGAATTCAGTGGATACAGTGATGACATTATTATTATTATTATTATTATTATTATTTCTACTACTACTACTCTGCTTTTTTTCTCCCAAAAAGAGACTCGGGACCCTTCCAGACAGGTCCTATATCCCAGGATCTGATCCCAGATTTTCTGTTTATCCCAAATTATCTGGCAGTGTGGACTCACATAATCCAATTTAAAGCAGAAAACATGGGATCACATCCTGAAATATACGTCCTGTCCGGAAGGGCCCCCAGTGGCTTACAGTAAAATGGATACAATATAATTTAAAACCGCAAAACCACACATAGTTATGAGTACCTTTTTTTTTTTAGCAGAAATGAAAATGGAGGTGTTCTTTCTTTGTAACTAGAGAGAATGGGGAAGTGTGATGATTTGGTAACTTCTCTTATATGCATTTGTTATACTCATGGTGCACAGTGGCACATTCAGAGGACAATGTCCTTACAACTTCCAGAAGCCCCAGCTGGCTTGATCTGAGGCCCAGGCTGTAGTGTAAACATGCTGAACTAAAGACCTTGTTGCCAAGTAAACAATTGGACATAGATTTGAACCTGAATGTAAGTTATTTGTTGTGTGGTAAAAAAACAACAACAAAGACATTTCCTATCTACAGGTCTTTCTCTTGCTGCTAGTATTATTTTTGACTATGAAAAAAACTCTTTTAATTTGCAGATTGGCTATCTCAAACTACACAGATCAAGGAAAGGGTTAAATATTAATTTTCAGACTGCTTTTTTGTGGATGTAATGTAAAGTGTTGGAATGAAAATCCTATGTACAGATACAATGGGCTCCAATTTACTTCACAGTATTACAATATTGCCGTGTCTTGGGTAGAATAAGGATAAAAAGAATCAAGTGTTTGTGTATCTTGTTTGTTGGCATCAAATATTTTCCCGAAGAAATGAAAGCAGGGGAGACAATTTGCAGAGAAAGGGTTAAATATTGTTAGAGTTGATGCTGTCTCTTTAAGTGAGAAGAACCATAGACTCAAGCTCACTGCAAGTTGATCTATCAAGAAAATAGAATATACTGAATTTAGAGATCACACTGAAAATTTTGAATGGTGCAGAAACTTACTTTAATTGACATGGCTCACTGAGATTAATTGTGGTTTGATGAGGCACCAGCAGAGAAGAGTAACATGTAAAAATGATCACCCCCCCCCCCCATGGTTTCATAGCATTCAGCCATGGCACTTCAAAGTGGTGTCAAAACTGTGTTTCTTCTACAATGTAGATGCCCCCTTGGTTCTTTCTTTGGGTTCTCTTAAAGGAGACACACATGGGCCCTGTTTGGTTGTAAGGTCATCTGATTGACAGGAACCAGGCAGCATTTAATCCACTCTGTACAGCAGAGTTTCTCAACCTGGGGGTCAGGATTAGGGGGGGGGGGTTGTGATGGGGTGTCAGGGGGGTCATCAAAGACCATCAGAAAACACCATATTTTCTGTTGGTCATGGAGGTTCTGTGTGGGAAGTTTGGCCCAATTCTATCGTTGGTGGGATTCAGGATGCTCTTTGATTATAGGTGAACTATAAATCCCAGCAACTACAACTCCCAAATGTCAAGTCTATTTTCCCCAAACTCCACCAGTGTTCACATTTGGGCATATTGAGTATTTGTACCAAGTTTGGTCCAGATCCATGATTGAGTCCACAGTGCTCTCTGGATGTAAGTGAACTACAACTCCCAAACTCAAGGTCAATGCCCACCAAACCCTTCCAGTATTTTCTGTTGGTCATGGGAGTTCTGTGTGCCAAGTTTGGTTCAATTCCATCATTAGTGTCAGAATGCTCTTTGATTGTAGGTGAACTATAAATCCCAGCAACTACAACTCCCAAATGACAAAATCAACCCCTTCCCAAACCCACCAATATTCAAATTTGGGTATTTGTGCAAGTGAATGAAAATGCATCCTGCCTATCAGATATTTACATTGGGATTCAGAACAGTAGCAACATTACAGTTGTGAAGTAGCAACAAAAATGTTATGCTTGGGGCTCACCACAACATGATGAATTTATTAAGGGGTCGTGGGATTAAGAAGGTTGAGGACCACTGCTGTACAAGTTCAGGGTCACTCTTCTCATCTCAAGAGTCCTGGGGCTGGTGCTTAAAAAAACACAGGCTCCGGAGTGAGAAGTGTGGTGAAATGCCCTGAAAAGTATCCATCCACCCATCACTGGGCACAAATTCGGCAGAATACACTCCAAAGTCTTGGGAGGGGAGGAAAAGCCTCTTTTTTCGTGTCTTGTAAGTTCAGCCAGGGATTTCTGCTTCTCGTTTGCTTTGGCAGCGAAGGCTGGGAAAACCTGGGCGCCGGTTCCAAGAAGCTGTGTGCAACAACATCCTTCTGGGTTTCCCAGCCCCTCCCTCCGCTTTGAGTCCGGATCTTGCTTTCCAGGCTTCAGCAGGAAGAGGAGAGGTTCAAACAAGCCCATTTTATTGCCGGCAGCCGACGCCTCTTGCATCCCAGCCGTTGATGCAGAACTGACGTCTGGGAGGAAGGGAGGCTGCGTGGAAACCCGAAGCGGCTCGAGACCAGTCTGGGTGCCGGGCTCCTTTTCGCAGGGTGGGTGGAAGGCAGGCAAGCAGGCAGGCGGGGCTGCTTGCTGGGGAGCAGAAACCGGTCACTCCTCCCCGCTCTCCTTTCCCCTCCTCGCCGCACTGCAAGGGGGTGGCCCTTGGAAACACCTCGGTTTAACCTACACGCTATAAATACAGAGCAAAGCGACAGGCAGCAGCGAGGAGGAGGAGAACCGGATTGTCCTCCCTATTTGCAAGCCACGGTGAGTGCTAGCAAGTGGCCTCATTTAGGCTTGGGTTCCCTTCCATTCGCTGCTTTGAATGGCCAGACGAGGCTAGGGGGATGGGATTGGGGGGATGGGAGGCTCGCGTCGTGCTTTTATTTCCCCACAAGGACCCCCCCCCCATTTTCCCCCCGCCCACCAGAAAAAGAGAGGGGCCCAGCTGCCCCCTTCTCCGCCCCGCTTTAGTGCAACCAATCCCCAAACTCGAGCCAATGCCGGTTTCCTTTCCGCTTCGGATGGCGGCTCTGGAGGAATTGGGGCTCAGAACAAGATCCGGGTTCTTGGCGTGAGCCTTCAGGCCACCCAAGGTTTCTGGGGCGCTCTGCTTATGCTCAGGAGTGCTGTCCTCCCGCGCTCCCATCCCTGTGAATTCGGCCCAGCTTCAGCTGTGAGGAGTATCACCGGGTCAGAAGGAGAGAATGGATGGAGCTGCTGAGGGTCTGAGGCCGCCTATTGATGGGGCGCTCTGCATATACTCAGGAGTACTGTCCACATGTACTGGCGTTACTGAGAGCCGGCTCGGCTTTAGCTGTGGGGACTCAGAAGAAGATCCAGCTCCTGGGAAAGGGAGGAGAAGGCCAAGTATGGATAGGGCGCTCTGATTATGCTCAGGAGTACTCTCCACATGTGATGGCGTTACTGAGAACCGGCTGTGGAGTAGCAATGGGTCGGAAGAAGATCTAGCCTCTGGGAAAGGGAGAAGAAGGTCAAGTTATTGATAGGGCGCTCTGATTATGCTCAGGAGTACTCTCCACATGTGATACTACTATACTTGATCTTGATGGCGTTACTGAGAGCCGGCTGGGCTTTAGCTGTGGGGACGTAGCAATTGGTCAGAAGCAGATCAAGCCTCTGGGAAAGGGAGGACAAGGTCAAGTTATTGATAAGGCGCTCTGATTATGCTCAGGAGTACTCTCCACATGTGATGGCGTTACTGAGAACCGGCTGGGCTTTAGCTATGTGGAGTAGCAATGGGTCAGATCCAGCCTGATCATTGATAGGGCGTTCTGCTTATGCTCAGGAGTAGTCTTCGTGTGGGTTGTTGTGAGTTTTCCGGGCTGTATGGCTATGTTCCAGAAGCATTCTCTCCGGACGTTTCGCCTGCATCTATGGCAGGCATCCTAAGAGGTTGTGTGCTTCGTGTGCTCCCATTTCTGGAGAGCCGGCTCGGGTTCAGCTGTGAGGAGTATCAATGGGGCAGAGGAATCAGCCGAACCCGCCGCGAATGGAGTGCTGGGGCGCTCTGCGTATGCTCAGGAGCCAGTCTCCGGGGAGCCGGCCGGGCTTCTTCCTCCGCGCGGGGCGCCTGAGGGAGGGAGGGAGCGCGCGCGAGGGGGGCGGGGCCTCGGCCAGGCCTCCGCGCGCCCCTCCCCCCTCCCTCCCCGAATATGAGCAGGGCCGGGGCGAATGCTTTTCCCGAGTGCTGAGAGAGAGAGAGAGGCCGGCGTGGAGGGGAAGAGAGGGATGCTGGCGGTTGGCAGGGGGTCCTGAGGGGAAGCCAGGAAGGAAGGCCTCGAAGGGGCTGCTCCTCACCGCCATCTTTTGTCCTCTTTCCTTTCGCAGCTCCCTGAGGAGAAACCTGTGGAGCCATATTATTTACTCTGAGGAAAAGGAGCGGGAAGCCTTCCGCCGTGCCTTTCTTTTTGGGAAACCTGAGGCGGCCTCCTCGTCGCCTGTCCGGCTGACCCTTTTTCCTTCCCTGGGCCAGCTGGGAACCCCCGTCTGCCTTCCGCCTTCAAGATGATGCAGATCTACGACTCGTACAGCCAGAAGCACTCGCTCTTCAACGCCATGAACCGCTTCATCGGGGCGGTGAACAACATGGACCAGACGGTGATGGTGCCCAGCCTGCTCCGCGACGTGCCTCTCCTCCTGGAGGAGCTGGACTCGGGCGGCGGCGGCGTGGAGGCCGAGGCCCAGCTGAACGGCACCCACGGAGGGCCCAATGGCGGGGGCGGCGTGGTGGGCGCCTACTGCTCCTGCCGGGACATGTACAGCCATTACCTGCTGCTCAAGTCCATCCGCAACGACATCGAGTGGGGCGTGGTGCAAGGGGGCGCCGGCGAGGAGGCCCCCGCCCGGAAGAAGGACAAGGGGGGCTCCCTGGACATTGGCCGAGGCGCCCCCGAGGGCCACGAAGACGACGAGGAAGAAGACGAGGAGGAGGTGGAGGAGGACCTGGAGAAGCAGTTCCACTACCACCTCAGTGGACTCCACACGGTGCTGGGCAAGCTCACCCGCAAGGCCAACGTGCTCACCAACCGATACAAGCAGGAGATCGGGGGCAACAGCTGGGGCCACTGAAGAGGGCAGTGGGGATGGGGGGGGGGGCAACCTCCTGCCTGCCTGCCCGCCCGCCCGGCCACTGCCTCTCCTGTTCAGGGCCAGAGAGTCAGGAGGAGGCTGGAAAGGGCTAGGGGAAAGTGGGGGCCAAAACAGAGTGTGTGTGAGAGAGTAGTTTGTGTGTATGTGGGGGTGTTGTTTGATGTGCAACAGGAATGAGATGCAAAAGAATATTGCCGAGTCAGGAAGAGCAAAGGAGGGGGTTGGACAGGGCCAGAATCAAATGTTGGCAAGAGTGAATCCTGGGTATCARTGTATGCGTGAGATATTTGTGCAGATGCGTGGAGAGATATTTTTCTATGATGTGCAACAGAAATTAGGAGCAAAMKAATATTGCCGAGTCAGGAAGAACAAAGGAGGTTGGACAGGGCCAGGGTCAAATGTTGACAAGAGTGAATCCTGGGTGTCAATGTATGCATGAGAGATTTGTGGGGAGATGTTATTCTATGACAGGCATGGGCAAACTTTGGCCCTCCATGTGTTTGGACTTCAACTCCCACAATTCCTAACTGTTAGGAATTGTGGGAGTTGAAGTTCAAAACACTTGGAGGGCCAAAGTTTGCCCATGCCTGTTCTATGATGTGCAAAATAATATTAGAGCACCGGGAGGAGGGAAAGGAGGAGGTTGGAAAAGGCAAAGGTCAAATGTTGGCAGAAGTTATGTATGTGTGAATGATTTTGGGTGATGTCTTCCTATGGTCTGCAAGAAGAAATGGGTGGAGAAGAATATTGCAGAGCCAAGAAGTCAAAAGAAGGCTGTAAAAGTCTAACAGTGGTTCTCAATCTGTGGGTCCCCAGATGCTTTGGCCTGCAACTCCCAGAAATCCCAGCCAGTTTACCAGTGGTTATGATTTCTGGGAGTTGAAGGCCAAAACATCTGGGGACCAACAGGTTGAGAACCACTGGCTAGGTGAAGTGTTGGCCAAAATGTAGTGTTTGTGAGTGAGTTTGTGAGTGAGAGTGGTTTCTGCATGTGTATGGAGAGATGTTCTTCTATGGTCTGCAAGACATGGAGAAGAATATTGCAAGGTCAATTGTGAGTGAGTTAAAACTGATGCGGAGTACACGGAAGAGAGACGTTATTTCCATGCTAGGCACATCCTGTGACTTTTTGTGGTTGGCAACTGTGAATGTTCAGGGGGGCAGGGTGAATCATCTCTGCCCAAGCATCGTGGGCATAAATTTAGGCAGCCAACTGTAGCGTAACCCAGATTGGAGGGCACAGTATGAGGTACAAGTGGCTCAGGCCAGTTACTGAAAGAGTGTGTTTGTAGTCACTTGGAAAGCAGAGTGCACATGTGTGTGGTGGCGGCGGCGGCAATAGTAGTGGCAATTGCATCACTCCTTTTTCTGTTTTTGCACTACTTTTGTAATAATATATATGTATATAAAGCCCAGGGGGTTCTCTTCTTTACATGCTCTTAGAGCTTCAAGCATCAGATTTTTTTATCAGTGCGTGAAGATGAACTTTCATCAATACTAGTTAAAATTGGGTTTTTTTTAACAGGCAGGGTGAACAGTTTTTGTTCTTCCATAAAGGCACTTTCCTTTCCATATCCTACAACTGGTTAATATGAATCTGCAAGTATGTCATTGAAGAACTATTTATATTCCATTGCAGAGGATGGAACCAGTTCACTAATGCGTATCCATATTTCAATGGATGGGTAAAGGGTCTCACTGTTGTACATGCATTGAAGATTATTTAAAACTTTTTTATTCAGATGTAGAGTATATTCTAAATAAATAAGCAAATATATTGACTGAAATGGACGTAACTGTTTTTATACTGTGCCTCTACTTGAATTAAATGGTAACATTTACAACACACAGGTTGTGAGTATATATATATTTTTCAAGCCACTTTAAAAGAAAGGGGCTTGATCCAATTCATTATAGCAGCAGTGTTTGCAGAAACAGCCCTGTGTTTTTCACTTTCCTTTTTCTCTTGTAAGAACTCCAATATGTCCTCATTTTTCTTTTAAATTAATAATGTATATTCCATTTGCCATAGAATTCAAGGTGATGTCCCAAGAATTCCTAGGACATTTTCAGTGCAAGCATTTTTCACATCCAGACCTGTTGTGCTCAGCAAAGTGGCAACAACATGCATGTCTTGGTCATCCCCTTGGCTCTTTGAAGGCTTGCGAACTTAGTATTCAGTTATACATTATGTATGACTGCTACACCCATGTTAAGATTGAACTGCTTTCACTGGGTACAATCCAAGCACTTTTATTAAAAATATAAATGCCAATTTGTCCACATATATGGTTGCTGTGTCCATACTACAGTAGATTAGATAAGTAAAAGGTAAATGTCACTTGTTTACAGCACAGGCTCCCAATCCATCTCAAACAGATGGATGCTTTTAAAAATAGCATATATAGAGGACACAGTATCTCAGTAAACTTCAAGTCAGAAATTTGACAGGATGTTTATATATAATATATGGATATTTGTAGCATGCCTTCAAGTAGTATCTGACCTGTAGTGACCTTATCACATGGTTTTCTTGCTTTCCTGTGAGTCTGAGGGTCCTTTCACACAGCCATAATAACCCAGAATATCAAGGCAGATGTGGGAGTTTATATAGCTATGTGGAAGGGCCCTAAGAGAGTGTAATCTGCTCTAAGGGCCCTTCTACACAGCCCTATATTCCAGAATATCAAGGCAGAACATCGCATAATATATGCTTTGAACTGGGTTATCCACACTCAGATAATGTGCGATTGTCTGCTTTTATATTCTGGGATATAGGGCTGTGTGGAAGGGCCCTAAGTCATCCAATGAGTTTCATGACCACATGGGGATTCAAACCCAGGTCTCCAGAATTGCATTTCAATGCTCAAATCACTATACCACACTAGCTCTCTCTCATTCATACATACACACACATACATACACACAACAACAACAACATTAAAATATATATGCTTTATAATTAATCAGATGTAATTTGCCAGAACTATATAAATGTGCTTTGTTAGGAGAAGTGTTTCCACTACGTGAGTCTTGGAATCATCTCCATTATGTGGAGGATTTTCTAATTTAAATCAGGATGTATTATTTTGACTTGTACTTGAAATAGTGCTAAAAGACATATTATATGAATGATATTAATACAAACACCCTTTCAGTCCAGTATAGCTATGTTAATACACAGCCTGCCTAATCCACAATCCTCTTAAACCTTCTTTTCACAACTGAGTTGTCGATTGGTCCATTTCAAGGTTACACTTAAAGCTTCAAATCTTGCACTTTTAAAACCAGAAATACCCTATAATGATGTAAACTCTTCTAACCCTTGTTCAGGCATGTTTTTTTTTTAAAAAAAAAACAAAACAAAAAACACTGAATACCTTAATCTGGAGTATTTTGTGGCCCCAATGAGAATTAAAGTGCATTGCTGTGTATAAAAGTCCCCCAAGTCCATAGGAGTGTTTGTGGATGCAGAATCAAGGCTATAAAGTACTTCAATACCCACATGCTCAGAGCCAGGAAATGATCACTTGAGGTGGAATATTTTTTTGAATAGCTGCCAGTCCTCTTTTGCTCTCCACCCACTTCCTTTTTTCTTCTTCTGCAAAAAACTAAGCAACATAAAAGCAGTAGACTTACTGGGATAAGTTTCTTCCAGCCATTTTTGTATCACAAAACAACATTTGTACATTCTTGAGGAGGCAATGCTGCAATAACAAAACAGCTTCCTAAGTCGTTATGTGTGGGTTCTGCAACAAACTACAGTTCTGAAGACCAAAAATGGCCCATTTACCTGGAGAATGATTAAGATTCAAATGCAAGGGTAATAAATATTCACCCAAGTTCTGTTTCCTCTTATTTGGTAGCATCATGCCACGGCATACAAATGCCTCACTACTTTGGATTGCATTTTAAATTGAGAAGCTGGGAGGGAGGGCATGTTAAATACACCCTTCACCAAAAGGTTGCATTAATAAATATGGCGGGGGAGGGGGGTATTTTAATTGTTCTTAATATTTGTTGCTTTACAAACCAGGTGTATTTCTTTTAAAAAAATATGATTTGAAATTGAATATGCATTTAATGTAAAGAAACTTGTTAAAAGGTTATCCATATAGTCCTTTAAAAACATTCTAAAGAATGATGACTTAATGGTGGCAGCCTTTTTATTTCACTGGCACAGTATCAAATTTGTTGGCATCCTATTAGTTCTAGAAGCTGGAGCCTAAATGTAACAATTGGTTCCTATTAAAATACAGCTGTTTAACTGGTAAGTCCATACTCAACCCAAAGACTAATAGATCTGCAAAATCATGAAGCACAGGGATGCAGATTTTGTAATTTATGACATTATGTGAGATTTTCCCCTAAACATTGATAAGTATCTGCAGAGCTTTTAAAAATGAATTATAAAACTTATATAGCAGTTACCTTTTGCCTCAGCCCTTCTCAAGCATCCAACGGTATCACACAAATCCAAGCATATAAATGAGTATTACTTTTCATTGTGGCTTTATAAAATAAATGATTTATAAGTATGTGAACCAGGGAGACCAACACTTCGGTGTGTTCAAATCGACCCCTGTTCTCTGATAACAACTGGTGAAGTCCAGTGATTTGACTTTTGGACTGAAACGAGGGTTTGGTCCCCAATCAACCATGGAAACCAATTGTGGGTATGTCATGCTCTCCCAGCAGGAAGACAATGGCAAAAAGTGCTGCCAGGAAAACTACACCAGTGTCATAAGTCAGTTGATTGGAATGAATATGACAAATCTGAACTAAGCTTCAGACGCTTCAATTCTAGGCCAAATTTTATGGGTGTAAACTCCAATTATACCAATGGACCTGAACTGTTGTGTAGACACTGTTAATCTGTTTAAAAAAATCCACTATTGGACACAATAGGGCCGTATATGTTCCATGTTGTCCCAATATGTCGGTTATTAATTGGCTAGAGATGAATTGTGGGGTATGCAAACTACCATGCTTCTTGCTGGTAAGCTGCCATCAGTTAAACAGCGTTTTATTTAGCCCCTCCCTACATGTTATTCTGAGATTAGAAAACGACTTTTTTTATCCTGATCGTGTTGATTTTTTTTTTGTTTTTGTCCTTGTTGCTCACTTTTCATAGTAGCATTGTATTTTGCTTGGGAGGAAAACTTCGAATAATCCTGCTCAGCAGTTTAGCCACCTGGCAATAGTTGTTTATCAACAGCTAGCTACACCTACTGTAGTCTACTATTGATCTCCAGGCACTAAAATTGAAGACACACAGACATAAGTGAGATAAATTCCTGGGTATGCTGTCATTTTACAAGGCAGACAAAAGGTTTAACAAATGATCAATGTCAGTTCTATTAATGAGAAAATGGGTGGAAACAGTCAACCTGCTTGCTCAGACATCTGGTCAAACCATAGGTTGCTTATGGCTGTGTTTAATATCAATATTTATGAATTGTGCAATTAAGACTAGCATTAATAGAAGAGAAAAATACATGACATAGGCAAAATGCCTTTCTAGATGACCTGGAGAGGATACGATACCTGGCTGGATCCCATGTACTGATGTTTCATCTACATATATACAAATGAGTGGGGTGAAATCCAAAACTGGCCCAAAGAAAAATGATAATTTTTTAAATGCGAAATAACTTTTATTACAGAAACCCAAAGATCACAAAGTACTGCACACTTGTTGATTGACCAGAAATGTTATATAATTTAAACTCGGTTCCAAACCCCCTTGTTTATTGTCTAGCCTAACAAATTCTGAGAAATCACTTACTTCCATGTCTCTCTTTCCTCCTCCCTCTATTATTTTCCTAGGACTCTTTGATTGTAAGTCTCTTGGGTTAGGGTCCTCACATAACTATTGTAAAGCACCATAAGTTCACATGGTGCTTTATAAATAAATCTTCCTTTAGAAAGCTATGGTGTGACTTATAGCTTATGTGGGTAAACGATACGATTTCTTAATAAATATTGCATTAACAGCCAGCAGCTGATCAGATGTTGTGCGCCTTCAAATAGTTTTTCATGTATAGTGATCCTAGTTTTTTTTTCCTTGGGCTGAGTGTGTGACTTGTCCAGGGCCACCTAGTAGATTATCATGGCTGAGCAGGTTGGTAGCTGGATAAATGAGAGTCCTAGTGTTTGCAGTGGAAGAAAAGACTGCAAAGAGTACAAGGGAAGTTCATCTAACTATGGGCCACTTTCCTATGCTTTAGGGAACGTGCAAGTAGGGTCTTTGCAAAACAGGGAAATAAAGACAGCAGGAGGGTGAGGTATTCCTCCATAACATTTCTGCTAACCTTGTCCTCTCAGGACATCCTTTTCCATTTTCTCCAACTTGTGTCTCTTTCATATTGTACAATAACAGTACTATGCTTCTACCTTAGCTACCATGATTGTATCCTGCAGTTGGTAATTTGGGGAGACTGGCTGAGAATTCCTCCCTGAATTGCAAATCCCGAAATTCCATAGGATTTACTATGGCAGTAAAAGTGGAATCATAGCATGATTAATTGTGTAGTAAGAAAAAGGGCTCCTGGTTTTCCATTCCATACACTGGTCAGGGAGCATTCCACAGCCACTGTTTATATTATATTCTAATTGAAAGATTTTTGAGTTCAAACCACCCTCCTTAGAGTCGACATCCTCCTCATATTTGTGCACTTGCCTTGTCAGCTGCAAAAGAACATCCACTTGATAATTCATTTTATTCCAAGCCTTTTCCCCCACTGCAAAAGAAGCAGGAAAGCTAATACTAAAACATACTCTTATTCCCAATATGCCCAATACCACATGTTATTTAGCAAGGCAATGCACTTACTGGCAAAAGCA